CGATATTATTTTATGATGGAAATACAATGTAGTTAGGAAAATTATATTCTATGTTTAGATCCAATTTAGCTAGAAATCCTCCCCAGCTTTCACCCTGAGCTATATTCCTCTGTCTTGTCTCAAGGAGTATCCTGTGATAGTGTCCAAGCTTCCTCCCTCCCCTCGGTAAGGGCAGGACCTGCATACCCAGCCTGTCTTCTCGAGATTTAGGATCCCTAAGTCATGGAAGCTCTGCAACATAAGATCTTTGTTAAAACAAAACTTTGTTTTTCTAGCCTGTACCTGTCATTGCAAGATTTGTGTCTGTCGGAAAGAACTGTTTTACTCAGCCTGTCTATATAACCTGTGAGAACAAAGAGACCAAGGAGATAGGCATTTGGAAGAAATATATGCCCCTCCTCACCCCTACTCCCATTCTCCTTTCCCAGGCATGTGAAAATAAAACCTAGGATCTTTTGACTCCACCTGGTTTCTGTAAATCTGGCAATGGTGACCGGGCAATGTGGGCCATCTTGATGCCGACGGTACACTAATGATGTTTCATACCTGCCTTTCGGCACTGTACTGAATATGCAAAGAGACCACAGAAAGACATTCATAACTGCCTTTCGGCACTGTACTGAATATGCAAAGAGACCACAGAAAGACATTAGTTTAGCATTATTTCTCTTTTATCTGGAATATTAGGCCCTGGAGAACAAGACTGCCAACTAATTGTCCCATTTACAAGTTTATGTACAGCTTATTATAAATGAATGCTTTCATATGTCTCAGAGGGTTTTCAGATTGTGTTTTATTTAGATGGCTTTGTTACCAAAATAAAACCTCAGTAATTAAAAGTTAAATGAAAATTCACACTATGTTTTTATCTATAAGAAAACAATTTTCTGCAATTCAAAATGTGAATTACACTTAAGCCACAAAGAAAGCAGGGCTTCATGCTTTATCTGTTTTTCATGTTTATCATGTTTATCTGTATTTCAATGAGGTGCAGATTAACCAGCTGACCCTGCTTTGTCCATGAGGCATGAAAGGCAGAGACGCTGCAAAATGGAATAGTAGTATTATAGCTGATAGTATCTCTTTACTATAGGCAATTGCATTTTTCTTGCTAGGACAGGGCTCAGATCAGAAAATTCTTGGTACAGACGTGTACATATGTCATGGTTTATTCTACAAAAATAGGCTTCCTTTCTAAAGTGAGTAGCATGAATCAAGGGCAACCTTTGGCAAATGTGAAGCAAATCACATTACCCTGCTGTTGAATGCCCTGATTCTGCTTAGGATATACGCAAGGTATTTGAGGTCATCCAAGAGTTCCACCCTTTCGATTACCAGCTAAATACACTAATCATTGGCACTAATCACGGACTCCAAATGAACGTTAGCCTCTCTATAAAGAGCCCTCGTAGTGTAGTGGTTAGATGGTGGACAGCTAACCACAAGGACAGCAGTTGGAAACCATGTGCTCCTCTGTGGGAGAAAGATGAGGTTTTCTACACCTGCACAGAGTTATACTCTCGGAAACCTGCAGGGGCGGTTCTACCTGGACCTATAGGGACATTACGCGTTGGAAAGAACTCAATGGCAGTGAATTTGGGGTTTGTTTTTGAGTATTTGTCTTCGGGAGTTGGTATAAACCGTTAAGGGGTAGGCTGATAACTGAAAGCTTGGAGGTTTGAGTCTACCCAGAAGATCCTCAGAAGAAAGACCTCGTTCTGGAAAAATTAGGCACTAGGAACTCTGTGAAGACATACTCTGGCAGACATAAAATCACAGCGAGTTGGAATTGACACAACCACAGGAAGTTTTCGTTATTTTAAACTCCCTCTTATTCAGTGAGCATTGGACTGCTAATTGCAAGGTTGGCAGTTCAAACCCACCAGTTACTCAGTGAGAGAAAGGTGAGGCTCTCTCCCATAAAGATTTATGCCCTTGGACACCCTACATAGGATTACTGTGCATCAGAACTGACATAACAGCAACAAGTTGGTTTGGTTTTCATGTCCCCTGTACTTTGCCTTCCTTGCACTTCAAACAGTGTGACTGTACATATTCATCTAAGTCATTCAGGCCTAGCGCTTCCAGTGATGTGTGACTATAACCAGCAGGCCCAAGAATATTTCTTTTCTCAACAGGATTTAGCATTTAGCGCTATAGTTTGTCTATAGGAGACACTCAGTCAATGTTAAGCAGCAGGATGGATAAGTTGATTATTAACTTTATTAACTAAAGAGGATACCTAGTATATCAAACTCTGGGAAGGAACCTAACAGGTTGGAATACTGGAGCTGGTGCTGTCAGGGTGGGGCCTTGGCTGTCTTTGGGCATTGGTTTTACTCCTGGACAATGCTGTTTTCACCCAAGGCTAGCCTCACAGCAGCCACCCCATGACTGTCTTGCTCGCCAATACCTTCCTCGTCAACATCTGGTACAGACTTGGCATACGTTAGGCCTTCTATATATAGTACTGAATGAATTCATAAAGGTTACAGGACTCGATAGCATGGTAAACTTTCCTAAGAAATATTTAGTGGTTAAGAATGACATAAGGGAATCATTATATCTGATGTTTATGTTTTTCATGGAATAAAAAGTTTTGGTTGTTTCCTTTGTTGTTCCTGACTTTGGGGTCATGCGTAGAAAATTCTTTCTCAAAGAAGATTATATAACTTGTCCTATATCTCTTTGCAGCATGGTTC